GGATCACACCCATTTTTTGCGTGAAGTTGTGTTGCTATGTACGTCAGATATATATATAGTCCAATAAGTGCAAAAAGTTTTTTGAACCATAATAAACGATTTAATATGAAAATTTTGTATGGGGGGTGGGTGTGGCAGTGGGCGGAAACCCATAAAAAATTTTTTGAATATAGATAATAATGTAAGTTTTCCGGACACCAAAATTCAGCTTTCTACCTATCATAGTTTTTAAGTAATCTTGGGACCACGGTAAAATCTCCAGGTTTGGGCAAAAATTTCGGGTAGTTCCAGTAGGCCGATTGGGCTCAAATTAGATTTAGAAGAAAGATCAACTCAAAAAATATATTTTAGGAAAATTTCATATCAATATCTCTACTGGTTCCGAAAATATCGAATTATGACCGCCTAATTTTGTGTTTTGTCACACTGTGCGTCGGGGTCACCAATTTAACTAGGGTCTATTAACCTTGCTAATAAATAAAACTCTCAAAATTTATGACGTTAATAATCTTTTAATCAAACTTTTTACACGAGAGAAAAAATGGAAACGTTTTCCACAATGTCAAAACCGAAACTTTAAAATATTTAAAATTGAATTTTCCTTTTTAAATTCAATAAAAGCATAGCCTACTAAGTCGCCACAGATTCATTGATTCAAAATTCATTGCGAGTATTGTAACTATTTTTATAGCAAGTCTTTAAAATTTTGCCATATTTACGGATTCTTCAATGATCGACATTGCTTTTGGTGAAAGATTTGTGTTTCGCATATATAACTGAAACTGTGCTGTTAAATCATAAGTTTTTATTTCTCTTTATAATTTTTAACATTAAAAGTTTTTTGATTTCTACTATAAATAAAATTAAGTTCAATAAAAAACCACAATTCAATAAATCTATAAATCTATAATCATTTTCACGAGTAGGCTTTGTTAACATTTTTTTTTATTTGTTGCTATTAATTGTAGCAGCACCTCAATTCATTATCATATTGATGACAATAATGATGATTCAAACTCTTGAAAATCTATTACTTTTTATCTTTAAGTAGCATCTTGTATTCAAGTTATTAGTAAACAAGTTACTTTGAACAACGGAAATGAATCACATCATACAATTTTAAGCTCTTTTGTCGATGAAATATTAATAATTATTAAAATATAATTGCTTCCATAGAACTGAGCATATTGGAGTGCTGACTTATAAGAAATCAACACAAATAATAAAACCAAAAAGTTAGTTATTGAATGTAAGATCAATATATAATAAATTAATAAATTGTATTTAATAGAAAACTTCGAAATAAATATGAATTAATGTATGTATTAATAAAATTTATATTAATATATACGTCATATATATAAATTTCTTCTTCAGCAACTCAGTGCAATTCAATCGTCTCAATTTAATTTACTACATGTTAGTTTTAAATAAAATACTAAAATAAATTTATGAATTAATACAAGATACATGTGTAGTTAAATTCTAATATATTATTAACTGATATAAACCGCGACTTTTAATTATTTGTTTCCGTTTCATATAATTTTTTTTTAATATTTGAACAAATTTTAACACATCCATCAATGCTTAAAGTAAACAAACCCACGCATTTCGAACTGAATGCGGTTTTTAGTATCTTAACTTTTATTTTATTATTTTAATTATATAAGCCAAATTAAATGCTAAAAAAAATCAAGTTTGATGTTATAGTAAAACTGAAAATTTTATGAATGAATTTTTTATTTATTTTTTTTTTTAAATTAAAATTCATAAATCTTGCGCAACAAACTGGCTTTAGTACTGAATGAACCTCGAACAAAAATTTATACTCATACATACTTACTACATATGGCACAGATACTTAAATACTTTTATAAAAATAGTTTTACTTAAATTCTGTTATTAAATGCATCTATAAACTTGTTATTAGTAAGCCCAAATTGGAAAATCGATTTTAATTTAAAATCGTTTTATTTTTTTATGAATTTTATATCAATTACTTAGGAGTGAGGTTTTTGCATAAAGGAGATATGTAAACTTCACTCGAAATATAGTTCAATGGATAAACTCGTCAATAGTTATAGTTATCAATATTATACCGAATTGTTTTAAAAAATATTTTAATTGAGTTTTACAACTTATTTTGTCTTATTATTTCCAATCTCCAATCGATCTTACTTTTCTTTATGAAAGATCATATACAATATATCTACATACAATAACAAAATATTTTATCTACTGATTTTGTGTACTACCTATATTTACAAGTATTAATACTCATATCATTCTTTATATTGTTTTGCTAATCTTCTTTTCTTTTCCTCAAAACTTTATATTAATGGAAACTTTTGTGAATCAAGTCTAGTTATCATACTATATATGTATAAACGCATCCTATAGTAACAAGTCCTGTATGCAGTAGGTCCTATACTACTTTTTATTGACTCAACAGGGCTTAAAGACCTACTCTAAACCCAGAAGGGGGCACCAAAGACCCGACGGCCGCAGTGCTGCATCCCCTAATAATAATAATAATAA